ACGCTCGTTACGTCAATAAATCGTCGTCGCACTGGAAGATCGTCAAGTCCGGAAACATTAGACTTTTGTAAAGTAAAGTAAAACGCTTAAACTTATCCTAACTTACTTATAATATATTTTTATGATAGTTCGAGAATCGATTTGGGAAATCCTTTTTTTTTTACATGGTAAAAATAAAAAGAAAGAAGAAGAAAAAAAAAGTATAATGCGGGTTATATCATAGAATTCGGTAGAAATCTCTTGTAAGGTTGACGAGGAGGAGAACGGTGTCATGCAGTATAAAGCGCTATATGCTCGAGAGATCCGATTCCCTCCCTCCCTCCCTCCCTCCCTCTCTCTCTCTTTCTATCTTCCTCTCTCTTCCTCCTCTCAGCTACTTACTGATATTTATTGCGCTCAGAAATGTGTACGGTCCTCCATAAATCTTCGCATTCACACGAAGTTTCTAATTTACATATTCTCCAGCGTGGAATCTCTCGTCTCTCCCTCTCTTTTACCCCGCATCAGTTCTTTCTTCTTCGTTAGCTCCTTATCCCTCTTTCCCTCTCGCTCTTCTTACATTAGAAACACAGACGCGAGGTGCACTATTGGTGGATCCATCTGAACGGAAAAAGGATTCCCGAGAAACGGTTTTTGCGCTCTCCGACGGAAGGATAGGATAAGAAAACAATCAAAAGAGTCAGGTATGAAGAAAATGTGGCAGGGGATAAGGTTCGTTCGAACAGTTGGTCGAATAAAGTCAAGGAGAAGATTTAACGTATGCGCTTTTTCTCAGTTTAGGGTGTACGTTTTAATGGTACATTAACCTCCCGGCTGTTCCCTCGGAATAGCTTGTTCAATTGCAATTATGGTATCGATCGTAACTTTGGCGCCTTCGCCCTCTTACAACTCATTTGTTCAAGGATGGAAGAAAGAAAATAAGAAGGAAAAAAATATCCGACATAAGACTCTAAAAAGACTTAAATCAACAAGCATCCATGACGTTGCATTGATTAAAATATTTCTTACGAAAATATTTATCTCCTCTTCGTTCTACGAAATTTTACTTAATTATTCAATCCAAACTGATTCATCCAAGAATGAGGAATATTTAAAGATCTTCTTTAATTAAACATTGAAAAATATAATAATTTAGATCTAATAAGAGTGTGTTCGTTAATGAAAATGTAGCAAAATTACTGTAAGGCATTCTATCGAGATCGCGCGAATCTAAAAATGATTCATGACTTCTCGTGCAACCACGAGGAAAGCTTATTGCCAATGAAATAATAATAACGAGATAAACGGCACGTCGGCGGTAGCATCTTCTTAATATAATTATAAATCACTTAAGGTAGATCGAGACGCGACCGATTTAGTTTAGGATGTTATTAATTACTTAATTATGGGCTACGGCCAAGTATTTCCGATGACTTGCTTCCCTTCTTCCTTTTCACTCGAGTCGCATGACCGCTTTTATTCGAAATTTTGCACTGCCGTTTCGTAGATTTGCTCGAACGACTCTCGAACGAAACGACACATATTTATTTACACTTTCCTTTCTCCGAATTTCTATGAAACTGACTTTTTCCGCTCGAATGGCATATAGGTATACTACTACTATTAATATATATATATATATCCAGGATTCTCTCTTTGGCGGACCACACGCGTTCTCGTCGTTATTCCATCCATGAATTTCCTCCTTCCTGCGGACTTTTAACGATAAAGCGCTACCAAGCGCTTGCACCAAGCGTACACTATAATTACACTAAATGCAAAATAAAGCGTAAAATACTACGTTCGAGTGGAAATTACCCAACGATTTTGCTCTCTTTACCTTCTACTTCCCTTCGGACATTTGTCTGGAACATTCGTCTCGCGATATCTACTCTACTCTTTTTTTTCTTCTTGTTTTTTTTTTATTTTTTTTTTATATTTTTTTTCCAAAGCGTATCTCGATGAGAAAGCCTTTAACCACCCTTGCCCTTCGACTCGTCGACTGTCTTCGAAAATACCTCTCGGTGCTGAACGAGGCGTGTGAAAACGATTATACTCGGCAAGGTCGTAAGACGCGGCAGCGCGCGAGCCAGATTTATCGAGAAATTAAGCGCACGATATATGTTATAGGTCGTATTATAAAACTCTAACTTCAACGTTTGAGTTGAAACAAGGAGGAAAGGATTTAGAGTGAAAAGAAAAATGAGATAAAGGAGGAGTGAGAAGAATGACAAGGGACAAGCAGTATCGCGGCGAAAGAAGAAAGTGGCAGCGGTGGTGGCGGTGGTGGTGGTGGTGGTGTTGGTGGTGGTGGCGGCGGGTGGAGCATCTTTCTCGAGAGGGCCTCGTAAAATGGAAATCAATTACATCTACACTTAACCACTTAAACTGGTTTCGCCACGGTTCTAAAGTCAGCTCTTAAGACGGGAACTACGGAAAGTATGAGGAAAGGGTGGGAGGAACTCTTTGAGAAAGAGAAAGAGAGAGAGAGAGAGAAAGATAAACTGCTTTGGTCCTTGAATGGAAAGATCGAAAAAGAGACGGAAGGAACGTGCGAAAAAGTCGATGAGCACCGCTGGGGGCTTCTTCTCCTCTTTTCTTCCCCTGTATACCTTTGTCTCTTTCTTCTTCTTGTTGTTGTTCTTCTTCTTCTTCTTCTTGTTCTTCTTCTTCCTCCGGCTCGTCGGTCTGCGGCAAGCCGCAGATCATTCGTATCAACATAATTACAAGCTCGGGAGCCGCCTCTCTGTTTCTCTCACCTCGCTCCACCCATCTCGCGACGTAACACACGATCGCCTTCGCGCCTCTCTCTCTCTCTCGCCTTCCCTTTCTACCTTGCCTTTCTACCTTCCATCCCTTTTAGCCCTAGGATATCGTCTTACCTTTGAGCTAAGGTTCCCGATTCGTCCTGAAAACTTTTCTTATTCCTCTTACTCTTACTCTTACTCTTATTCTAAACCCTTTTGTATCTTCTCGCTCTCGCTATACGAGAAAGTAGAGCCTGTACATGAGCGATGTGACTTTTGGAGTATTCTCTTCTTTCAAGGTCGACGATCTCTCCGAAAGAACGAACGGAATTTCTGAGAGAGTGAAAAATGGGCAAAGACAGAGAGATAAAGCGTCAGCTTTAACGAACAAAGGATAATGAGATTTTTTGTTTTACCAAACCTGTAGATATTAATTTTCATGAAAGGAAACGATAGGTGTACGCAACCGAGGAAACGTTGGAAAGGTCTAAATGATTGTAAGTGATCTTTTGAGAGAGAGAGAGAGAGAGAGAGAGAGTAATAATAATCGCACACGGACGTGCCGAGGACTCGACTCGGCTTCGTACGTGTTGGTCGATGAAGGCGCGACGGAACGAAGCGGCCCTTTAAAGTGGCTGCTGCATCTAAAAATAATTGCTCGCTGACAGGCCGTGAAATGAATTTATTTAATTTCAGATTGCTGTAACAGAATTACACGGCAGTTGAAAAGGTGGCGATGAAGTCCGGTCGGTGGCCACTGGCGACGTTAACCGACCGATGGAAGAAAGGGGCCAAAGGTGGAGCTCTGCAATCGAGAAGAGCTAAAAGGTAGAAAAGCCGCCTTCGAACTGAACTCTAAGGCTGCCTGCCTCCCCCCCCCTTCCTCCTCCTCCTCTCCTTCCCCACCACTCATCCTCCAATTCACATTCGTCTTCGCCAAAGATTTATATCCTTTCTCTTTCTTTCTTTCTTTCTTCTCTAGCCCCCGAGCCAATCTTTTTCCCCCATTCGATATATTTTATTTTTCCACTAATCGGACCAGAGATAGTTATATACTTACGTATTTATTTATTCGAAAGACTTATTAAAGTTACTAACTTATCGCAACGACGACCGGATGATTACAAATACAAAGTTTATTAGTCGATCGTTCGGTACGATCAGATAAACGCGTGGGATTACTTTAATCTCTCTCATTGATCGATCAACCACGGGAATATACCTTGCTCTCGTCGCACGTTACAAAGGGTGAGAGAAATAGAAAGAGAGAGAGAGAGAGAGAGAGAGAGAGAGACGAGTTCGTGCGTAGGTAATTACTAATTGTGAGATGAGAGGAACGATTAAACCATTAACCACCTTTTCTTTTACCACAGTAATCTCAGTCATCTCTCGATCCTCTGCATCCTTGTCCATAATTTGCGTATGAATCTTTAAAAAAGTGTATTTAACTAAAAGAAAAAGAAAAAAACATTCCTAAACGTATAACGCAAAATAATAATAATAATAATAATAATAATAATTTTTTTTTACCTACCTAGAAGCGATGGAATAACCGCTAAGCTCGTACATATCTTTAAGAAAAAAAAAAGAAGAAATACAAGTCGTTAATGAAAATTCATTTTTATTTGTTTTTGTCGATCTACATCAAGAAATACGGTGTTGAAATTATGCTCTACCACAATCGGAGTTTATTATGTACAAATTATATCGTCTTCGAAATAGAAGACGCATTAATACTATCGCGGTATATGATACAACTATAAAGTCTTTCTCTCTTCCATACTCTCACAACAACAACGTTCACGCAAATTTCACAGACAGTCGTGCATATACGCAAACAAAACTTACACATTCACTCCGCACAAAGCATACAAGAATTATATCGTACAGATCCTATGTATGTATCCTCACATATATACAAAAGTTCGACAATTGAATAAACTAATATTGAAGAAATATGTCTTATCGTTCGAAGCGAAACGACAATAACCTTTTTTTTTTTTCCTCCCTTTTCTACTTTACAATAATTTTCCTTCGAAGCGACCTCGGACAAATGAAACTCTTCATGCATTAGAATTTATTGACGCTTGTCGCTTCTTCCCTTCTTCTGTGTATCGATATGATTACAGGAAACACCTACGTGAAATTACGTCTACGTAAACAAGGAATCGTTGGTTATATCTGCGAAAAGTTAAACGAAAAGAAAAGAAAAAAAACGTTCTTTCATTTTAGGTACTTGTAAAATAGCAATTAATTCGGAGCTCTTTTTTTTTTTTTTTTTTTTTTTTACAAATTTAGTATTTATTTATAAAGTAAGTCATATACACCTGTCATTTTTCGAAATAATTCCCATTATTTTCGACGACATTGGTCAATCTTTAAACAACTAACAAATTTCTTCATGAAAATAAGACGATGATTTTTTGTATGCAATGAATTTAAAATATCAAAACACCGAACTAATTGCTGCACAAAATAATATATCACGAATAAGAATTATCGAAATGTTTAATTTGTTTCTCGTCATAAATTATGCTACAATTAATGGAAAAAAATAAAAACGCATTTGTTTTCATCAGTGGTTCCCAAAGTTTGCGATATCGCCCCCTTGTGGACGATGAAGTGATTCATGGAGACGATGATGGCCACATCACAGGTGCATTTGGGGAGGGCGATGAATTTTATTTTGAGTTACTAAAAAAAAAAAAAAAGAAAAAAAGGAAAACTAAAAAATCAATTTTCAGGGGGGCGATAAGTAATATTTTTTTCTGGAAAGGGGGCGGTAGGAGAGAAAAAAGTTTGGGAATCACTGGTTTACATCTAGGCAGGAATTTGCAAGGTCTTCGTTTTTCCTATCGCAAAAACTTGGCCACGTTGTATGTTACATTGATAAGTAAGTAGACGCAGGGATGCTAAGAAATAGAGAGGAAAAGCTATTAGACTCGCTAATTGGGGCTGGAGGGGCGGACGCGTAGGCTCGTAGGCGGAGGGGTCCCGCTAGGATGTGGATAGGGTGCGTACCTGAGGGCTGCAGAGGGTGGCGAGGTCCGTCGGGAAATAATCGCGACCGGCGACGGTTGCCACGACCACCCGAGGGCAGTCGGGTAGGGAAAAGTCGTGGCGGCCGCGGAGTGGTAGGGGGAAGGCGAACCACTCGCGGCCCTGTTGGCAGGGTGCGTCTGCCCGACGGCGGCCCCGTAAAGAAGAGCCGAGGAGGCCCCCGCCGCCGCCGTCAGCCACGGGCCCAGAGCCGCGGCCGTCGCGTGTCCTCCGTTCTCCTGTGACTGTTGCTGCTGCTGATGCTGATGCGGTTGTTGCTGCTGCTGATGCTGATGCGGTTGTGGCTGCCGCTGCCGCCGGCGAGGACATCGCGAGATGTTCGTATATTCTCACCGGTGGTACTCCGCATCTCACCAGCTGTTGCTCCATTATCTCCATCGGATCTCTGCAAACATGTCGTTACGGCTAATCGGACATCCTCGTTGCTTCTTATTACAAAATAGCCTTTAGACAAAAGGAGAAAATTCGAGCGGAAGATGAACGCGGATAATTAGCAGGAGATTTTCTAATCGACATCCGGCGAATAGATAAAGAAAGAGAGAGAGAGAGAGAGAGGGTCAGGCTCATCGCAGTAACGCGGCGTATCGTAATAACGTGATGGATGAATTCGTACGGTCTGCCTCGCAGGCATAATTAGGGTTAATTACGAGCGATTGTGCGTTCGAGCCGATCCTTCGAGCTTCGTTACGTCGCGCGAGCGGAAGAGAGAGAGAAAGAGGAAGAGGGGAAATGCTAACGAGCGGATTATTGGTACGATCGCGAGCGGCATCGAAAACTCGTGTGCTTTTAAGTGTCGCGACCCCGCTAGCCGATGATAATTAATGTTCCGTGCTATGCTTATGGTATTGCGAAATATCCGAATGCACCGTCATTTCCTATTTTGCTGATTATGCACGGGAGCGGCGCGTACCAACGACGATGATCATTTACGATAGGCGCCTTCTTAATTATCAAGCGACGTTTCTCCTAACGTTTTTTTTTTTTTTTGCTTTTTATGACTTCGATAAACGTGACGTTTCCGGCTCGATTTGTCTCCAGTTATTGGCGAGCGATCCTTCTTCTCGATGCGAGAGAAAAGTATTTGGTGCTCTTCGTGCCTTTCAGTAGTCGAGTACTCGAATGAAAACTTGATACTAGAAGCTTGGACGATAATTTTAGCCCGACCGTCCGACGATGATACCGCCGATCGATCATCTGCTTCCCCGAAACGCACCGTAGCGATGCTGCTCGCCAGTCTGGAGATTGTCTTTCACAAACGGCGCCTGATATTTCAACGTTTCAAATCGTACGCATCCCTCTTCTCCCTCCTTTTCTCTCTTTCTATTTCTCTCTCTCTCTCTCTCTCTCTCTCGTATGCGCCAGGTCGTAAAGTAATTCAAAGGGAATAAAAGACAATAACGATAAACGCAGCACGGTTGTATAGAAAAAGAAAGAGAGCTCCGGTGGAAAAAATGTTTTAGCTATTGGATCTCTTTCTCGGTAGGAGATAAAAAAATCGATAACGATCGATTTTAACTTTACCAGCTTGAGAAAAAGAAAAGAGAAAGAGAGATTACTTCTCTCGTATGATTCGATCTCGGCAAAACGGTAATCGGCCATTCTCTGTGTATGAAAGGTTAAACGAGAAGGGTTCGGTTACTCTTTGAAACGTTCGAAAAAGGCGCGAACGATCTAGACGTCAAAATAAAGATGGTAACGAGAGCAGGCAGAGAGCTAGAAAGAATAAATTTTACTTGAACGACCGTGACCTCTGGTACCTTTCTTCTCTTTTAAAGATTGCGTTAAACGGGACCGATGAAGCAGTTTTAAAATCGTTCACAGTTGAGAATCAAGCGACGAGAAATGCTAATTCGTAAAAGAAGTAAGCGAGGAACAATGGGGTCCGGTGTGCAGTTCCTGCGTCTCAGTTACTACGCGTTGGCCTCATACTGCTTAGCACGTAACACGACACCAAGTGTAGAAGCGAGAAAGAAAGAGAGAGAGAAAGAGAGAGAGAGAGAGAGAGAGAGAGAGAGAGAGAAAGGCACGTTGGGCGCGCTCGACCTACATACACGCAGCAACACTATCATGTACTGTGCCACGTAAGCACGCGATTTCTGGGCCCTCGTAGCAGTTTTCGGCCCTTTGCCCAGTCACCAAGGGAAAAAGGGAAAGGGATTAGGGAGCCTGCGGTTAATCGGCCCATCCCCGCATTTTGAGCGACTGGACCACACACCGACTTTGATCGTCTTCCTTCCTTCCTTCCTTCCTTCCTTACCGAAATGAGCTTTTCGCAAATCAACCATTATTCATTGAAATAATCGACGACCTGTTTATTAATACGGTTTATAAATGTTCACGCCGGCGTACGTTATCGAACGCCATCCATCTTAATTCGTGTTCGTTGACGAAGACATCTACGCAAATTCATTTGGTATTTTCAATCGGTATCTTTAATGTCGATCGTTCTGTAACGCATTTAAGAGCTTATACTTTCACCTCGGTCGAAGCACCAGGTGCAAAGGATTCTTTTTCCATTTTTTTTTTCTTCGCGACGAGCGCAGTCCGATAAACATCGTCTTAGAGATCCGGCAGGACGATACGTTTGGTAAACCAATAACGTCATCGTGTCGACACTTTGAACGCGGGAGGATAAAAGGCAGCTGACGGATATCTTCTTCTTCTTCTTTCAGTCGTTGAACACGAACGAAACACGAACGAAACACGAACGAAACACGAACGAAAGACAAACGATACACGATCGATATGATATAGAAAGAAAATCGGGACATCTAACATAAGACTCGCGCGATTAATGATTGATGGAGGAAGAGGAAGGCACCTGTACCTATATTCGCTAAGCGGAAATGACGTTGTTCGTTGCAACGTACTGTTCTGGGCCAAAGAGAACTATGCCGACTACGGCGTCCTGCCTTCCGGCCTTGAATTATATCTTTAATGTTTTCATAAAGCTTCCTCATGTACGAACAATAAAAGCCCTAATTACGGTGGTTTCGCCGGGACGAAAGAGTTGCCCCCGGCTCCTCTGGCTCTATTACTATTCCCTCTATGGGCGCTCCTGTAATTGTTACACCGCAATAAATATTCCTCATCGATCTGACGAGTCTGCGTTTCCCCGTAATGGCGCGGTTACGCTCGAAACGTTCTAATTAGAGGCCACCGCCGTTACCCATTAAAATGTCCATGACGTTCGCACGGCTACACCCTTTGGGAGAGACGAAGAAAGAGAAGAAGAAAGAGAAAGAAAGGGTATATTCTCGTCGCCTTCTCTTTATTATTATTATTATTATTATTTTTCATCTTCTTTTTCTTCTTCTTTTTTGTCTCGAAAGCAATCCATACTCGAGTGGCTCTGATTTTCATCTACTGCTAAAAGCATTAGGTAATACGTTTTAAAGAGAGACCAACTTTTTCAAACGTTTTTTCAAACTCAAAGCGTTATGAAGGAGCGGCGGAGGGCGGAGTGTGAAAGAGTCGGCTTTGCACGGGTCGCGATATTAATGCCGAATGAATTCCATCGAGCGGGGAGCCTGTTATTCTCCGTCTACCCTGGGGCTGACACAGGGTATTAGGTAAGTGGTAGATAATAATAGGTTACACCCCACTGATGGCCGAAGGTAGTCCATCGAATGGTGTGGTTGGACTCCCCTTCGCTTTCTCTCTTCGCGCACTCTACGCACGCATATAGATATCCTATCAACGGGACGACTATCGAGTCTTATAAAGACTTGTCTTAGAGATGTGTCATTGACCAATGAAAAACATTACTTTTTGCGATATTACCTCCGTGTATCGGTAAATCTTCGAATAACGTGATCCTTCTCAAGGACGATACCTAGGACGAGAGATTGGTAAAAAAATTCAAAGGAAGAATACTTTTTCAAAGGGGTAATATATTATATATATATATCTATATATACATATATACATACAGATAGATAGCTAGAAAGAGGGAGGGAGAGAGTGAAAGGGAGATGGACGAGTGTAACAGCGAAGAAATTAATAGCCATAAAATATGAATAGAAATTAGCAGGTTCGGGGTGGCGTGACGCGTTTGCTCGCTCATTTCCTTTCGGCGCGTTGAAAAACAACAAAACAACGAAAAATACGGTCGAGCCTGTAATTTACCCCGGCTGCCGCCGAGCAGGCGCGCGTGTGCGCGCGTGTATGCGTTAGATCTCACACGCATGTTCGCGATCCGACTCGCGATCTACGGTTTTCTATGTATGTACGTTGATAGCATACAGCAAAGGTATATTCATATAGCCAACCGATAGTAGGCTAACCGAACGTTCACATTAGGTATTTCTCGCGAGCCTGTTGCTCACGGCTCAAGTCGTCATCGTCGTCGTCGTCGTCGTCGTCGTCGTTGTCGTCGTTGCACGGTAGGTATGGTAGGTAATGATCCGGTAATGACCCTGACGCCTTACTTCCCTCCCCTTCCTCCCCCCAAAGGCGCTCGGAATGAAGCTCTCCACCTCTTTCTCTCGCTCCGATTACCACTACCTGGGCATCTTTCTTCTCTCTTTCAAAGACTCCTCTCTCGAGGATACACGGCGAGACCTTTGTTTTTGCGTTTTAAACGGCGGTTATTAGGTTCGTAGCAGTCCCCTCAGTTTCATCTCTCTTGGTCCTACGGCAAGGCTGGCTCTTTTGCTCTCTATTCATCTCGCTCGCTGGCACTTTGGTAATGGGGCCTGCTAATGGGCCGAGAAGACTTTGGAGTATCGATGTCTGTGGTGCTGCCGGTGCCGCGGTCAAAGATACACTTCTATGCCAGTAGAGGAGAGCAATAAGTTGGTCGTGTGCGTGGCGAGAAAAGGGGTCCACCGTGCCTCGGACGCGAGAACAACATTGGGATAGAAATGGAACAGAGAGAGAAAGAGAGAAAAAGCGTGTGTCCGTGTGCGAACGTTCGCGCGCGCGCGAGCTCGCCCCGAAGAAAGAAAGAGAGAGAGAGAGAACGAAAAGACGGATGGTAAGGCGGAAAGTGAGAGGAAAAGAGGGAGAGGGCCAGGAGCGGCAGCGGTAATGACAGGCCGTCCGCTCTCGAAGCTAATATAGATGAATGCCCTGCCCTCCTTGCCCTGCGGAACGAGGGAGAACGGAATCGCTCTCTTTCCCCCTCCCCCTCAACCTCCTACTCGTCCTATCTCGTCCCTCTCTACCTCCTGGCATCTCGAGGAACGACGAAAGCTGCCCGGTGGCGGCAATGCAGGGCGAAATGGACGCGATCCATCCCTCTCTCTCTTTCTCTCTCTCTCTCTCTCTCTCTCTTACTTTTGCTCTTTCTACTACTCCAAGAGCATACGAGAGGAAGGGGGAGAGGGAGAGGGTCTATCTATCAGCGCCGGCGTGAAGTGGGCGGGAGCATGCGCCGTATTGCCCCGTACGGCCGCTCTCTCATTAACTCTGGACGCCGCCGGTGCCCGCGTTGGACCGAGGAGGACCGCAGAGGATCGCGGAGGGATGTTACGCGCCGGCAAAGGTAGCAGAGGTAGCCGCCAGCCTCGAGAACGCGTTCGTGAATGCGTTCGTGAATGCGTTCGTGAACATGTTCCAAACACCCGTCAGGAATTTCTTATTTCCTTTCGCGATCGCAAAAATTACAAACACTTTTGAGGAGAAATTTTATATTCTTCGACGACAACCTAAACGACTTATTCGTGCACATTGAAGATATCGAAATTGCGAACACAAAGGGAGACAATTTTTTTAATGAAATTTTAAAAGATTTTGAATATTTCGTACTTAATTAATTGTAACTATCCTCGATCTTATAAAAGTTCATTCGAAAGATGGGGTGATCTTCTTGATGTCGATGCACTTTTTTTACAAGTATCCCATTAAACTCGACGTATTGCGGCTGCTCGAGCGTAATCGAAAGGGAGATCGAAGGGCGGATGTTCGACGAATCGAGCAAATTTTTAAATAAAATCATAAAGTCGTGAGGATAAATCGAGAATCATAATTTCGAAACGTATTGCTTTGCGCGCAGGCCAGGGCCTCTCATTAACTCCGGACGCCGACAATGCCGAAGATCCTCGCAAGGGAGAACCGAGAGAAGTTCGAGCATCTGTTTTCCACCGAGTCTTGGTTCCTCCTCGTATTCCGCACTTTTAGATCCCACCTACGTAGCGCTATGGATTCTTCCAGATGGGAAGGTATTTTCGAGCGTCTTCAAGTTGGAAAGGTGTTCGATCGGACTGGGGTCAACTAGTAAAAGATTCGAATGACGGTGCAAGATTCGAGTGGCCTCGGTTTAGGCAGGTGCTGATTTAGGGAGGGTCATGAAGAACTGACAACACACAATCCGGAAAGAGGTCGAGCACTTTTCAGTTCAAACCTCCGATCGTATAATTAGATTAATATCTTAAGGTGAAAGGCTTTTCGTAGGCAAACCGCGGAGATGGATCTTCCGATTGTTCGTCGAATGATTCGATGCTTTTTTTATTGCCAAAAAATTGAATCGCCTCGATTATTCTCGTCGTGTCTTATCAACGACGACGATGACGACGACAAATACAAAGAAAACGGAGTAATAAAGAGAGCGATGGTAACTTAATTTCTGTATCTAAATCTTCTCTGTTAGTATTTCATAATTAAGAGCGAACAAACAATTTAATTAAGGTCCGCCCATCTTCGATCGTGGCGCGCAGGTGTAGCAAGTAGCGATTCTCTTATCCATCGTCGTCGTCGTCGTCGTCGTCGAAAAGGTTCAATAAAAAATAAAAACAAAAGGGAAGAAATGTTGGAAGCGAGAGGTCGCGTTATTCGAGTTTCGATCGTAAAAAAGAGGAGGGAGGAGAAAAGTTTATCGGGTGAGCGTTATCGATTCGTGGACACGCCGTTAGTAGCGTTCTTTGTGCGATTTGCATAAAACCTTGAATTGCGCTCGAGCGAGCTGCCGGCGCTGTCGTTAACAATTTAGTGGGCGTGTTTGCAATTTGCGTCGACTCGACCGGACTCCGCGTGTCCGTGCTCATTATCGCGCGAACCCTTTTCAAAGTTCGCATCATCGCCGAGAGAAAATCGAGGACAACGATAAGGATAACGCGTTCTAGATGATCGGCAGAGAGAGAAGAGATAGAGAAGAATAGAACTCTCAATTATCGCTTAAACTCGGCCAACGTCGAGTTAACGATCTTAAGAATCATTCAAGGAATCAATCGATCTATCAAAAAGATAACCATGTAATAAGATGCCGAGAAAGTGTCGGAAAATTTGTCTGATTAAAATTGTTACTTAAAAGTGATATATGCCTCGGTTATTTATAAATAAGAACTCTTTTTTCAAAAGCTACGTTCCTGTTAATACGAAACGACGATCGAGTGGATGGAACGCAGGGTACGAGCAGGTGCGTCATCGTTCATGCAGATAGACGATCGTGGATAATAAGAAATCGGTCGAGAGAACGCGTGCACGCTTATTCGCGGTAAACCTATCTAACAAGCAATCATGCATCGTTTAACGTTGTAAAAATTTAGTAACTTAACCTAGGAAGCGAACGATCTCTGTCTCTTCCATTTTACAAAACTGTCTCGCAATCAGACGGTTTTATGCTTACAATTAAACTCTTTCTGAACGATACTTTTTTGTTGTTTTTTTTTTTTATTTCGTTTCACTACCGACCATAATAATATGCCACGAGTTACGTATCAAGTTAAATAAGACGAATCTTGAAAGTTAATTTTATATAGACAAAAAAAAAATGTCGAGAGATAGAAAGAAATACTTATGTAACGTTCAAGGTTTAATCGTAACACGATTAAGCAATATTATCGTATAGATATTGACTTTTTTTCTTCGACTGTCGTTGGGATCAGATGTGTTTTCGTTTTTTGTCTTTTTCTGATTTCTGCTCAATTTCGAATCCTAACGTATTCGTATTCGGATTCATCCTCTTTGTGTTACTCTCACTTGAAAACACTAGGTTCCCTTTGTTTTGATAAACCTTATAAAACGAGCAAGAACTCTAACAGACAATGATCAGATATATCAACGATATACCAATGATAATTTTTAAATCTAACAACAACCAAAAAACTGATATTAGTCTCGAGGATTTACTATCAGAATGTTCCTGACTTAAGGAACGAAGATTGGCGAATTAAAATGTAATCTAGCGGTACTCTGTTTTTTAATTATGATTTTATAATTTTTGTTGAAACGTATAATTCTTGTGAAAATATTTCTAATTCTAAACTTAGTTAGTTTAAATAGTTTCAATGTTTATAGACTTCATTTTTACTATTTAAACAATTTATTTATGAATAGAGGTGACGTTCTTATTGCTGCACGTAATCAGTTAACACGTTTGTCGCCATGGCATCGTATACCGGAGACGGGCATGCTTCCCCGGGGGCCCCGTCACCGTATACGGTGACGCTCTTCTTCTCGAAGTTATAGTATTTTTAATTGGAAACACTTATCACATTGTTGATATTTCTACTTATCGTTTCTTTACGTTACGACGAGCCGACAGTCGAATTTTGGGCCTGGCGAGAAACTCAACCAAAACTGGCTGGACGACGAACGTGTTAAAGGACACCTTATAACATCTTGAATAGCTATTTGTTAATTTTTCTTTCAATTGAAATCAATTGTTATTAATGGTGTGTATATTTAACCGTATATCTCTATATATAAAACTCATGGTAAATCCATGTAAGAAATTCTTTTGTTAAACGCTGACTCTGACATTGTTATTTTTATACTTAAGGATGAAAAATGAAGAAATTAGATGAAATTAATAGAATACACTTTTAAATGTAAATTCTTATCACATCGCCATATTGATATATATATATATATTTAATCAATTTATATCATTTATAAAATATTACCATGTGTAATAATATTTATTTTTTTTTTTTCAACGAAGTTTACTTAATTCTTTATTAATAGGTTTATCCTTAAAATAAATAAATAAATAAATTACTATGAGTTTGAGAAATAAAGAGAAAGAGAGAAAAAGAAAAAGAGACAGAGACAGAGAGAGAGAGAGCGAATAAGAGCAACAAGAAGGGTTCCAAGCAATTACTTCATAAATTATTACCTGCTACGCGATACGTGAGATTTCTCGATCGTAGAAGTAACGTTGCTGCTCACTTTCTTGACAGCTTTGTAGCTCGCTTACCATTCCGTTTTCAATAACTTTGCACGATAACGACACTTTATTAATTACCGGCATGCTAATCGCGCTCGTTTCGTCTGATTTCTCGAGAGAAAACAAAAAATCTTATTTCGAATTAGTATTTTTTTTGTACGTACCGATCGAAATCCGTCAACCTCGAGGAATCCCTGAAACCCTTTGCGAATGGATTACTGTCGATCTTCAACTTGGTGATCTGCGGGGGGTTAGAGGGGGTGGGGGGAGGGAAGGGGGAAAAAAAAGAAGAACAACAATTAATTTTCCACGGATAGATTATCAAAGTAATATAATATATATATATATATATATATATATATAAAAATCGATTAAATATTTTATGATTAACAGACAGTCTCACCAGCTGATTTTGATATGCCGTGACAGCGGTGAAAATAGCTTCAGGAAAAATGAACGTTTTGTATTCTTCTTTACGAAGATCATTGATCTGTAGATTGTTGTCATCCGTTTGTTTGCATCTGACCAAATGTATTCTAGGTTGATACTTGTGCATAGAGTTCAATACTATCTGCAATGAAAAGTGAAATTTCGTGTACGTTTATTATTATATATTATATAGTACGTATTATTTAAGTATGATAAATCAAAGGATACTCGAGATTCTTTGAGTCGAGCTTGTCTTTTTTTTTCCGCGACATCGTCTTGGACAGAAAATCGATTGAAAATGCATAAAAGTCTTTTATCGAGCATTCGCAAGCTCGTCGTACTTGCTTGCTTAGACGCACGTGTAAAAAACGTACCTCTCTCTCTCTCTCTCTCCCTCTCTACGTGTTACGTGTGTAAACGTACGTTCGACGCGAAGAGAACTCAGATACGGAAGTCAAGTTTTTACGTTGAAACTTTAACGTCATGACATTTGCCACGGCAAAATACCGTTATTAAAGTTGGTACGTGTACGTACGTAGGTACGTACGTACGTACGAGATAGAGATAGCCCCCGAAGAACGAACGAACGAACGAACGATCGAACGCAATCGAGCACACCTTTTTTTTACCAACTATCGACCCGATGTGCACATTCTATACTTACACCAAACGCATACGCCACATACGTGTGTGCGTTATTAATCGATTTACTAATTAACCTCGCACGCGTCTATACTACCCTACGATGATATACCTCTAAAGATATTTATAGCCAGACCGACGGGAAATTAAATATTACGTTAGTATGGTACCGATCCTAAATCAAACCTACTACTACTACTACTAACTACTACTTACAATTCCTTTTTTTTTTTTTTTATAGAACAAAAACGATAAGACGCCCTTTTTTAATTTTTAACTTTGTAGTTTTTTTTTCTTTTTTTTTTTTTTAAGTAACTTTTAACGTTCATCCTACTTACTTGTTTTTTTTTTCTCGAAAAACAAATTAGTTGAAATATTTATATATTATATTTGTTCAACAAGAACGATCGATTGATATTAAAAACAAAACAAATGGAACATAGGAATAATCGATTTATGTCTAACTTCTCTCTCTCTCTTAGCTTATTTTCAAAAGAGAGAGAGAGAAAAAAAAGGAGACAAGTTGAGGCAAAAGTCTGAGATGTGTACGTGAGTCATCTCTTTTTCTTTCCCCTTCTCCTCCTCCTCCTCTTCCTTTTCCCTCCTCCTTTCATCTTTTCCTTTCACTGTCTTTACGACGCAACGAATGCCAGTCTCTCCGTGCGAACGAGACTCGAAAGTCAGGGCTGGCGTGAAGGGCCCCAATACCCAAAGACTCTTCGGGCCACCTGCAGCCGTTAAGTTTCAACAGTTGCGCCACCGCAGCCGCCTCTATATTTCATATTAGCGATAATGTAGAAGTCCGGCTACTGACTTTTCTCTCTCTCTCTTTTCTTTTCTCTTCCTCTCTCTCTCTTCTTCGATTTTAGCTAGACACGTCCCATTATTAACTAGACTACATTTTCACAATGTTCTCGAAAAAATTGTTCGAACTTTATTAAACGGATGATATTCCGTGTACGGGTGGTGGATTAATAACGTGAATACTCTTGAAAGTTTCTTTGCACCTTCGTCGAGGTCGTTCGTTCATGCGTGCGTGCGTGCATGCGAGCAACGCGGTGAACGCTTCTTCCACGGATTATCCGGATCTACCGCGAGAGCTCGTATCGCGAGCAAAATGTGAGGGCGTAATTACGCAAAGACTACGAATTATAGGTATATTAATGAAACTGCCTTACCCGGCGTAATCGAGCGTATTTTCTTCTCCCACTTTCTATCCTGCTACACACAACCTCATTGATTATTAAAACTCGTAAATTTGGCCTCGGTGGTGGTGGTGGTGGTGGTCGTTTTGAAAAGGCTCGTAGTAGTAGTAGTAAGATGAGGGTCTGACAAAATGCTTAGATGTTTACATTTTCACGAGTTCCACTAAGGGACAAGAGATTATCTTTCAAAGACTTTCTCGCATAAACGGAAGAACTGAGGCTCGCACGTAAACACCGATAAGGATCTAAAATGCAGTTCCTAATGCTGGTATGCCAGGTAAAAAAAAGAACCATTGTAAAAAATTGTGAAAGAGAGAGAGAGAGAGAGAGAGAGAGATGAAACCATCTCCTCTCTATACAGGGTGATAAAGAAAAAAGGGGATCCGTGATGAGAGTAAAACGTGTCTAATTAATACGGGTCCTAAAATAAATTTGTTCGATGTATGTACATAAATTCAATTTTATCGCGAGTCTCTCTCTCTCTCTTTCTCTCTCTCTCTCTCTTTCTCTTGGCAATATATTAAATGTACACGGAGGAATTTGCTTAGAATAAACATTGGATGAAGATAACCATGGTTGATATTACTTTTCGTTTATTTTAATAACATATTTATTTTGAACTAGCGTACTTACGTGTAAGTATAATACGTGATGGAAACTGAATGTAAGGATTGGCGTTAAGAGAAGAGGTCCAATCGGTGACGGGTCGAGCTCGAGGAAGGATCACGATCACGATATCACGAAAAGGAATCGTTTTATGTTCTCGATTATAGTCCTTCGGAATCCCGCAGCGCGTTCCTATTCGTTTTCTCGGAGCAAGTTGGCGCGGCAGGACACCCTACTGTAACTTGTCAGGAGTCCAATTTGCTCTACTCTGTTCGTTCTGTCGTCCCGGATAACAGAGCTGGAATCGCACGCGCGACTACGTCACGTCCTGAAGGGACTCTAAACGTAAAGAAGTCTTTCTTCGATTTATCAGCCACGTTCTCGCTTATTCCCCGCTTCGTACTCGAGAATACGCGAAATTTAATCCTCCCAATGTAAAGCTCAAAAAGGACATATGCGATCGTGAGAACTGAATTTCTGTTTTTTTTTTTTCTATTCACATACACACACACACACACACACACATAAATTCTCGCGTTGCGTGTTTCGTCAACAAACTAGCGAGCGAATTTTTGATGAAAAAAAAGTTTCAACATTGAAGTGTAGCATAACGTACTTACTTAGGATAGATCGGAATACTAAAGTACATAGAAAAACGTGTTGCTCGAGCGATAAAAGATTAAAAATGATTTATAAACGTTTATAAATCTCCACAGTACTCGCAAATTCCTATCTTTCGAAAAGCTTACTCCATGTTAATTCGATCAAATAACTCACAAGAGGTGGCTACGTAAGTCACGAGTTTATCGCTCCTTAATCCTCGAGATTAGGCTACATTAATCAGAAACAAAGAAAGAGAAGAAAGAAGGACACGAAACCGTGCGTTTTTACTCAATTATATCGCGCTATTTTTTTTTTTTCTTTTTTTTTCACCTCAAAACGTAACTACGGTAGTAATCATAGGCACGTACTAATTTTAAAGAAACATAAGTACGTTATCAGACTTTAGAGGAATTCTTGATAATCTTGACGCTTTTATGCGTTAGGATTAAAATAGAGAAATATTTAGCGAAAGGCGGATAGAAATCTCGATGAGGGAGGAAAAAGAGATAGAAGATGGGCGCAGGTGGACGCTCGCTTTTGGACCACCGTGTAGTAGCCGGCACGCAGGCGGGGGTCTTATAATATCGCGTCATACGAAACGATGAAATAGCGGCCGTAGCGAAGGAATGTTCTCTCTACCACTCGAGCCCTCCACTCGGACTTGACTGGCGGTTGGGTGTTGCGTTGCGTGGCTCTCCTCGAGCTCGACCGACTCGAACTTCTCTTTTTTTCTTTTCTCTCCTTCTCTCTCTCTTTCTCTCTCTCTCTCTCTATCCCTTTTACACTTACAATGGACATTCTCGTGACTCCACGATTATCAGAAAATCTATCTGTCCTGTAGAAAAAAAAAGGTTCCTATTCCGGTTATCGTTATCGTCGAAATTAGAATTGTAGAGAAGAGGAGAGAGAGAGAGAGAGAGAGAGAGAGAAAGAGAGAGAGGAAAGTTTGGGTATCCTCGAGTATCCGAAAGAGCAAAACGCGAGGGAACGGCCTCGAGGGAGATTCAAAAGGTGGTCAACGGGGCCAGGCGTGGGCTACCCGTGATCATCATGACAAAAGCTCCGGGCAAACATCCATTCAATTTATTAGCTTATAGGCATGCCGGCGTAGTGTACCCACTATATACCACCTACGACACCACCGCGCCACACCACCGGTCGCCTATAATGATACCAACATTATGGCTGTTCCGCGAGAGCCGCGTACGGACGCGACCCTCTTTTTCCCCCTTCTTACCCCGTCCGCACTTCACGCGTTATTCTTCTTTCTCCCATAGAGTTACACTTTTTACGGTTAGCCTTTCTCAGTCAGTGATATTTCAAGGGAACGAGCAAAGAATAAAGAGGCCTATGTCCGAGAGCATTCTCCTCTCTTGCACCTTTCTAATTTTAAACCGGAATCGCGTAGCAAAGCCTACCGATTTTTAACAGCGCTACCGAGTTTTTTTTCTTTTTCTTCCCCTTCCCCTCCCCTACCGTCGATATCGTTCGACTAATTCGAACGGAAAGGAATGATAAAGAGGTCGAGAACGTGCATCGTCGTTTTCGGTGAAATTCTTTGAACGACAATCCCAAAAGAAAAATCGTTTCGCGTAAACCGTTCGACGCGAGTTGTGACGCCCACGATTAAACAAGGAGGATCGAATCGATGTTGTTGAATCGATGATATAAACCGCGTCCTACGCTCTCCTTCTTTTTCATTCTTTTACGAAACAATTTTAGTAGCGGCCGGCCCGCGAAGAAAACTCGTCGAAGAAGACAACCGAAAGCGCGCGAGAATCTCGTCTCGGAGATTGTGAATGACTATAGGCACTGTAATCTTTGAACATCGTCGTCTTTCTAGGTCGTCGTCGTCGTCGATGAAGACGCGTTACGTCGTTCGGTTGAAAGTTATGCGACATTATTCGAAGAAGAGAAAAAGAGTGAAGGAAGGAGAGAGTCGATTCGACAAACGATCGAATCGCGTTTCAGCGCTGTCGTTCGAGAGTAAAGGATAACGTTCCTCGTGAATCCTCTTCTCGTTCGTAGCTCGCGAGGACCGATTTTCTTTCCTCCTCTTTCTTCTTCTCAACATTTCTCGAGATCGAATGTCCTCCTCCTCGTCGTACAGATTCAGATACGGAGGGAGATACTAAACACGTTGGTTATATGAAATCTGATACGTAACGATGCCCATTGCGTTTTACGATCGAGCGTAAAGTTGCGTTTTGCGGATATTCTAGCAAACTGGAACGCGGATAGAATTAAAATCAAGTAAGTACCGTTATCGCAAATATGACGATATCCAATATCGGAACTTGAAATTTGTCGATGTTAAAAAGAACACTGTGAAAGAAAATAAAAGATAATTCATCCAAACTTACCTGACCATGCTTGTCCATATCGTTGTTCGTCAACTTAACCTTCTCAAAGGAGACGACTTGTTTCGCGAGCTGATCCCCGGTAAATGGTGAATCCGGATGCACGTAAAGACGAGCGGGTGCCGGGGGATCGGCCTTTCCGGCCACGAGCCAACAGCTTCTGTGATAGGCGTATCGATACCTTTTATTGTCGACCGGCGCGATGTCCATCAGAACGGCGTAACGCCCTTCCGTTTTCAATCCTCGAAAGGATACTCGGCAGGTGGGAAACATCCGTCTGTGAATCAAAAAACAAATAATATGTCTCCTTATTAAGGATATTTGAGAAAAAGTATATCAAAATGTTAAGGAACAAATTTAACATAACATAACATAAACATGGTGAAAAAATATAAATATTCAAAGGATTTTTAATTTTCAGTATATACTTTTATCTCCGATTGTACCTTGAATAAAATAAGATCGAGTAGAACAAAAAACAAAAAAAACAAAAAAAAAACATGAACTATCGATAACTAGTACAATATAACCTGTTTTTATTTTTCTGTCAAAAACGATGACCTAAAGGATCATCGAAATTGAGCATCAAAAGTCTCTTGGATCGATGGGGACATCCTTTTTCGTTAGGAGCAAGTGACCCTTGAACCTCGTTATATGCAGTCAACTTTTCAACACCTTCAACATCGACGCGCAAGCGCCACGGTGCGCCCTTGAATTTTTACCGACCCGACACCGAAGACCGAAGAGATTTCTTTCAAGTATACAACCGATATTTCTTTCTTGCGATCGTAAAAGTGCCTTTCTCTTATCGCACAATCTACCAACTAATTTATTTATGTTTGATCGGTACTATGATTCATATTCTCGCGTAATGTTATTACCAAAGAAGCACTGGTGGCTAATCCTGATTGATCGATCAATTAAAGATACGTTAACGAGCTTTCGAATCAGACGCAACGCAACGCGACGCGACACGATGATGCATCAGTAAAATGGTTAAACGTGTTTCACGATAAATATATGAGATTGGTGCTCGGAGTTAGCGTACCGTTAGATTTGACCTAAAAGTCTATTCAAGCGTATATAACTATCTTTTGACGATTACGATTTATTCATAGGTAATTGAACAAAGTGAGGAATATCTACGAAGGGAAAAGACAGTGGAATTTGATGAAATGATCGGTACGCCACGGCGAAATTGTCGTGGTCGGCCGGTCATCTGTCCAGGGCCGTGCAATTATTCCAGATACAAGCGTACGGAAAACTCATGCGAGAAGCACCATTATCATCCGTGTTTGTTATTAAACGCGGATGAAAATGACGACAACGACAACGACAACGACAACGACAACGACGAGGCCGATGACGAGAAGACGGAGGAAGTCAATGTCAAAAACATCGAATTACCTGCTCGAGTAGATGAGGGAACGATTACGAATGTCGTACTCGTCAATGTAGCGGTCTCGCAAATAGCAATTTCCGAAGTTGCAAATTGTCCCAAAGACAGCGATAAAGATATCTCTCTTTGTTCGGAACAAGAAAAGAATTTCCAATGTCCACCTGTTTATGTCAAAGCATGCAAGGAAGATACCACGACCAAGTACACCGAAAGACGCAAAGTATTGCCAACTTCTATAACCTATCTTTTGGCTGTTTGCATTTATGCGATGGTGCATTTCCTTCTCGCCTTACTTGCTTGGCGCGAATCACTCTACGAGGCTTTCATTTCAAGTCAAGTTTGCGGAATCGCTGCTTTGGTTATTTATAAGATTACCGACACCATTCCATTGTAATGAAAATTTGCCATAAATTCCAGATAGATTGATCGTTTAGTTTGTTCCTTGATCTCGTTTGAAGTTATTCGAGCGCCATCATACCTTGCTGACTTATCCTCGTTAAAGGCGAGAAACACAAAGAGGAGGGACGTGCTCGATGAAAAGAAATCGTTTGAAAACGTTGAAGAAACCGCAAAGGCCGCAACCGCTTTAAAGAGAACGACCGCAAGGAGATGATCCTTTCGCAATCCGTGAGCGCGCGAAACCTTTCCCAAGAAACACGGCATCGACTCGCGTGACGAACAAGTTCGCGATCGTACGTTCCAAAGATTGCTACTCTCCATCCTTTTGCGTATTCTTCAAGAATCTTCTTCTTCTTTCGTGGCATTTTTTCGATTTGCTTCAATCCTCCCCACCCCATCCCTCCCCTGTTAAAAAAAGGTACATAAAAGAAAAGATGATCGTCAAAGTAACGATCCAAACGATTAGCGATCGCTTTATCAACGGATCTTATATCCTATTTACCGTTTCCAACCTCGTTTGACGGCGTCAAAATTGGTTTTTCTTTTCGAAACTAAGCGCAACGTATCCTCGGTTCATCATCGTTTAGCCCCGGTAAATTAAGCGGGCGCAAAGAGAAGCTCGATTCCATAGGCCGTGGCTAACGAGAGCATAATCGCGAGAACGGCTCGACCCTCGAAGTCGTTCGAAAAGCACCCTAAACCTTGCCAGAGTTCCTTTTCTCTCTTTCTCTCTCTCTTTCTCTCTCTCTCTCTCACGCGCGCGCATTCGGTCTCCGCTGACGTACGCGCGTGCGGCCAGAGTCGCTTATTCACTGTCGAGAAGGATATAGCCTGGAACGGGCTCGGCGAGCAAAATAAGAAGAAGATAAAGAAGAGAAGAAAGAAGAAGAAAGAAGAAGAAGAAGAAGAAGAAGAAGAAATAGGGAGTAGGGTTCGTACAAATGGATTACGGAAGCAGTGGATATTATACCGATCCGAGTGGCCATCCGACTTGCTCTTCGCTGTTTGCCGTGCTAACGACTTCTCTTGGCCCTGGCCAGGTGGTGTCGCTATTATAATTATACTTTGGCCCATATCGTACCCTCTCCTTTGGCTTCTTCTTCTTCTTCTTCTTCTTCTTCTTCTTCTTTCTCTTTTTCTCTCGCACGCTTCCTTTATCTGTCCTTTCGCATCTCATCCACCTTCCGTTCTTTTTCTCTCTTTTCCGGTTGCCTTTTTTTTCTCTCTCTCTTTCCTTTTCTCCTACACATGCGGAAATATATATATATATATATTTATGTATTATATATATATGGAGAGAACGAGAGAAACGCAAGGTTCTCTCTCTCTCCCTCTCTCTCTCTCTCTCTATGTACGCCGAGACTCGTCACGCGTGTGCTGAACGCCTATGATATAGGTTGGCTGGCACCTTGATGAAGGGTTCGCGTGACGAGTACCCTCCATATCCGTTGCTATCCTCCTCCTGTCTCTCTCTCTCTCTCTCTCTGTCTGTCTCTCTCTCTCTCTCTCTGTTTCGCGTCCTGACCTGCTCGTCCACACCTCCTACTATACTACCACTGATAGCGACGGAGGCTACGATTTAACGTAGGAGGAGGTCCTGTACTCACTTTTTCCTCCGCATACAACCACGACTTGTTTCTTCATAGTACGGAAATCAAGCTTGGGAAAGTATCTTTCGTCATTATAATAATATAACTACTTACATACTTGTCGAAATATAATCTGTCATGGTCGATCGAAGCAAATTTTATGCAAAGAAAAGTCACTCTCTTTCAAATGGCTTTTGTTTGCCAATTCGACGGTTGGTGGTGTATTCGAAGGGTACGAGAGAAAGAGAGAAAAAGAGAGAGAGAGAGAGAGAGAGAAAGAAAGAGAAAGAGAGAGGGCGTTAACGTGGGAAAAAGAAACTTTGTGAACATGATCCTTGGAGAGAGTGAGAGAGAAAGAGGAGGAAGGGGGAGCGAGTCTTGGCACCCCGTCGAGCCAGACAATTCCACCTGATTGGTCCGAATTCGTATTGTCACTCTAGGAGAGACTGACGTTTTCGTTCAACCAGGATTTTGTGGCAAGTTTCGTCGTGCTAACGACGCTATTCGTGTATCGCCCACGGTGTAATAATACTCTTGATATATCGATCGGCTCAGTCAACTTACCGTGTTTCTCTGTCTTGATATTTTTAAATATCACAAACCGTAGAATCTAATGGTTTTTTTTTTTTTTTTTTTGAACAATACTGGAAATATCATTTGATAAAAATGATCAAAAATGTTAAAGTATCGATTCAGTCTCTTGATTCGTCGTCCTTTGCTCATTTTCGCAAAAAAAAAAAATCCAAAGGTTAATCGAGTGCATTATTCGCAAATTCCGAAAAAGGAGCAAAACAAATTATGGCGAGCCGTCAAGGGGGAAAAAAGAATAGTCTCCATTTTGCTTTTAAGGTCTTGTTCGATTAGGTTACGATCGATTTGCAACTTTTAATCTCTCATCTATTTTTTTGTTCGCTTCCCTCGTAAAGACTCTTTCCATGAAGGAAAACTCAATTAGGAATATACGCGTTTACGATCATCAAAGAAAGAGGGAGAGATAGATAGAGAGAGAGAGAGAGAGAAAGAGAGAAAGAGGTTAGAAAGGATCCCTCGTAAATAGCTATAAATCGCGTTGACGATCGTACCGTTAATAACGCATCGACGTTTATCTTGAGTCTTTATTGAGGACAAGATCGATTGATAATTCGAGAGCGAATAGAAAGATATACATGCATCCATGCATGCATGCATGCATTTGTAAAAAGCGTGAAAGTCGATGGCCTTTCCCTAGCTCGACTCTTATTCTTTGCCAGAGAAAGATAATGTCCAAGCTATGGCAAAGTTAGCGTGACAAAGAAAAGAAATGCGAAGAAATGTGAAGAAGAGTTTCTTTATTTCTCACCGTTCATACGTCATTTCGACCGTTATCTCGTTTCTTCGTACGAATCTATTTAACGTCTTTACCAGCACACGCTCCTATCGCCGTGAAAAATCATCCAGCAGAGAGAGGAGAAACCGTACGTTTTCGCCTCGTTTTAATTAACCGAAAGTGATTATATCTCTGGAAAAGTATCCTCCTAGTTGAACCGACCAACCGAACTCGTGCGCTATTATAAATTAGATTTTACTTTAGCAATTAAGAATTGAGATACGAGCTCGCTAAAATGTTGATAATGTTCTTTATTCTTCCTTTCGCGTTCGTCTCCTCCTCCGAAAGTATCCGAAGCTAAGCAGCAGCAGTGGTTGGTAAAAGAGAGGAAAGAACGATGGCGAGTTACGCTAGAGTGGATGGTCCCTCTCGCTCCGTGCACAAATATCTCATAATTCCGACGTGGTCACGCATCCTGCCGGGCCGCAGCTGCGGCCTCAACTTTATTAACATACCTATAAAAATGTGTGCCGCGGCTATGTTGTATCCGCTAGCTCGTGCGCGAGCGTGCTCATGAGCGAACGGCATAAATGGATGCAATAAATTACATCTAAAATTCCCTTTAAATATCTCGTAAAACGTCAGTCAATGAAATCCATTAGTTCAGGTACGACTAACGCCGTACAACGGACGCGCTTCTATTTTTTTGTCCAACCGTTCTCGCGTAATTCGCTCGGAAATTAAAGAGGCACGCTTCCCTCTTCGAACCTTAAAAATGAACATGCTTTTGCTCCCTCCCCTCGGCACACGTTGATTATGATAAATGAAAATTGCTGTCCTCCCCGAAAGTTTAGTTTCCCTTTCCTCAATGTTTTAAAATAAGGAAAACGATGTAAGCGAAGCGTGGTAACGCGCTCCTTCGTACCGTCCGGTCTTGGTGATGATCATCTCCGTGCCGAGTTCGTTGAACTTATCCCACAAATCCTTGGTCTCGAGCTGACACTCGACGTCTCGGAGCTCGTCCGAGTTACAGCTCGTCCTAAGTCTGTGCTTTCTCTCATGATGCTGCTCGTTGCAATTGGAAACGCCATTAGCCCCGTCGTATTTCCTCGAGGAACTAGAGGACGAGCCGGTACTGAGATCGTCTGGAAGCCCATGAATAGGACCATCCTCGACGCTGCTACACTCCTCGACGTCCACGTCTACGTCGACCTCCTCGTCTTCCTCATTGGTCGACTTTTCAGTTTCCTCGCAATTTTCAACTTCTTCTTCAACCTCGCAATTCTCGGCCTCGTCCTCGACTAAGAGAGCCTCGTCCGTCACCACGGTAGCAGTCGCAACGATGTTAACCGGAGACGTTCTCGCGTCTGCAAATTAATCAAACAGAAGACAAAATTACTCTTCCTTATAAGTAAATAAGTACTTAATGGCGATCGTCCGAGGAGAGAGGGAGAGATGGAGGCAAAAGATACCCAAAACTCGAGGATAATTAATCGAACCGAGCGCACATCTGCCGCCACATAGTCGACGCCTAATTAAACCGTCAGATTTGAAGAAAGGTACAAGAGACCGCGTCGATGCTCACATTATGTACACAACGGTAATTGCTTCGTTTTCTCGATATCGATCCGTTAATTTGTACGATTTGGCGACTACGATACGAGTCTCCTCCTTCGAGGTTATATCTCAAATTGGATCCACGACTAACAGGACGAACGATGGCGTGTACTCGGGTGCAAAACTAACGCAAACAAACGATACATTTCGCGACGTTGAAAAATTATTTAACGTCACCGGCACCGCCACCATTTCTCTCTTTGACTCCCTACACAAGACACTTAAGAATATTTATTTCAGGTTTGATAAGGAAAAGGCGTCGAGCGTAAAAATGAAGACGCATAATAATTATCTATGGGATCGAGACGAATTAACGAGTACCGGATTATTCGGTACTTTGACCAACTCCGCGCGTATTCCCAGCAAATGCAGTAACGGCTGCCAAAGGCAAACGTGCTTTTTATTGATGAAAAAGAAGATAGGAGGACTCGATGAGGCCCGAGTTGACGCATGCACTCAGATGCTATCGGAAATATAAACTTTTCTTCGTACTTACATATATAGACCCTTCGCGGCAACAGGAAGATTTAGTATCTTCCTCGTATCATTCGCTAAACGTATGAGAACTAACGAGTAGAAATGCGCGTGGCTTTATAATTTCCGGTCGAATAATTAGCTCGTTAATTACAAGAAGAGTGCGTTTCTCGAGCGAACCGCCGGCCAAGTTGGGCCCGTATTTTGCTACACTTTCTGTATTTTTTCATTTTCTTTTTCTTTTTCTCTTTCTCTTTCCTTTTTCTTACACTTTCAAGAAAAATGGATTATAGTCGAGTTACGATTATCGAGAATCCACAGATATCTAAAGGTATTCACTTGAGCGAGTATTTGCGATAAGAAGACGAGACGATCTGTGGAGTTTCAACCAAACTCGATTAGAGTCTCGACACTTTGTAAACGACGACGAGAGACTCGAGGCCCGCGTAAATAATCGTATTATAATATCTAATCTCGCGGCTGTGGGGAAACCAGTCCTTACATCCGGATTACACGACCTGGGCTTCGACGTGGTCGAAGCGAAGGCTTGGCAGACAACTTCCCTCGAACCTCTGCTTTCTGCTTCTGCTTTTTCACGATTAACGCCTTGTTTTCATTAACGCCTTATATACCGAGTTGACCCATTCTTCGCTTAATCGTTCAACAGTGCGTAAGCAAATATGTTCCTTGTCATGTGAAAATCTGATTGTCTAAACTTAGTCGTAAACTCGTGCAAAACTTAAACCGTTATTAGCAAAAGAGACTATCATTCGCGTGGGAAGAATCGCGGTACACGGTGACGGTCTGACGTCTGAACCCGTTATGAAGATCGTCCAACGACGAAATCCTTCTGAGCAAAGGTATTCATTCGATGTTGCTTACCGTTCCAGGTCTTCTTCTCCTCCTCCTCCTCCTCCTCCTATATTTCTTCTTCTTCATCTTAATTCTCTCTCTCTCTCTCTTTCTCTTTTTCTCGTGATTCTCGCGCGCATCTTTTCGATGGTAGTAGTTTCGAAAAATATTTGAAAGCGCGCGTGCTCGTCCGATGCGACGTAACGAGGAGAGGAGAAGAACGGACAGGAGAGAAGAGCGAGAGGAAACCGGTTCCTATAGTCAAATTTCGAGCGATCGACTGGCAGCACACCGATACTCGCGCGCGCGCGCGCGCGTGCGCACTCAAGAACACCTTTTATCACGAAGTTTGATCGTTTCAAGACGACTACTGTTTCGTAACATTTTCAAGCTCTAACTTATGGTTATCCCTTTCATTTCTTTGGAAATTCGACTCGTCTCACTATTCTCTCGACCCATCCATATGGGCGCGTATATAAGTAAGTAGTATATATTTATATCGTACGAAGGTTGCTAAGTATCAAGTGCGTTTTCGTCCGATACGATCTTATCTTTCCTCGATCGCCGTATGTGATACAAGTCTGACCAAAAGACCCAAACAACAACCCTTGCTAAATGTAATTCTATTTTTCCATCACATTCTTCACAATTTTGTCGACAAAGGTTCAATATACCCTTTTCCTTTCTTCGTATTCTTTTGCGAAATTATTCTTTTTGTCTTTCTTTTCTTTTCTTTTTTTTTTTTGCAAGAACTTTCGACAACTTTTAACACAAAGGAAAACGTAGATAAGTACATACATACCAACAATTTTCAACATCATTTTTTTTTCACCCCTTTTTTTTCCTTTTCTTCTTCGAGCGACTCATTACCAGAGCAGCCTGCTGCTGCTGCTGCTGCTGTTGCTGCTGTTGCTGCTGCTGCTACCACCGGCGCAGCTAAAGCAACTTTAGCTTTGCGAGATCGCGAGTGCGTGACACGCGGTGTGTGAGAAGGACAAGACAAAGAAGAAAAAGGGGAGAAAGAGAGAAAAAGACGGAGAGAGAGCGCTCACGCAACGACGTTTGAGGTGTTAATTTTAACGCTGGATCGTCCGCGAGGCAAACGTCCCCTCCCTCCCTCCGTTTCACTCTTTCTCTTTTTCTCTCTTTTGCACTAGCACTTGCACTTGCTCTTATCCGATCGCCGGCTGTTATTTTGACACACGCACGTAAATAGCCATCTACTTACTTATACCACCATGTATAACTTATGTTACATACTTTCAGAAAGAAGAATAATTTTCGATGGCTCAATAAGGAAACGGACAATTCGAGAGTGAAAAAAAGAAATTGAAAAGAAAAGAAAAAAAGAAAAAGGGAAAGCAAAAGAGGACGCTGTCGTCTTCTTCTTCTCCGAACGACTCGAGCGCGGATGTAAGGACTCGCGCGTTATTATTAGTTTTTCGCGTGTATTGGTGCACGTACATGCGTGCAGATGCGAGAGCGCACGCAAAGCGCGAAACGCTCACGCGATGCGCGGAACGCGTGCATGTTACCCTCTATAACTCCCAAACGCATCCCTTCGCTCGTCCATTTTATTTTCACTACACTTAGATGAATAGATGCACCTATGCTACCGATTTGCTACAAGTTTTCCTCCGGTCTTCGCGAAAATGAAAAGCAAAAAAGTAATAAAAAAACATTGGACGATTGGATCGATCGACAGTAACGAAACGGACACTTGTTTCGTTGAGGAGTTCTTTGGCCGCGAGCAAGTTTGATAAGGCGATTTGATACGGTCTATTCGTTTATCGCTTCCTCCATCGCGCTTAACACGTAGGTGCCGGGCATCGAAAGGTCTGTGAAGCACGCAAAACTCATGGAGCCGAGAACGTGATAATTCGTTGCGGACACGAAATCTCTATTCTTTCTCTGGGCGATTATCTTGGGCCGCGCCAGGCCGCTTTCCGCCTCTCCACGGCCCGCTTCCTCGATCTCAGCCTATACTTAAAGATAACCGGTTACCTTCGACGTGCCGATCAATTATCCATGCCCGTTTAACCAACTAAAACTCGCGAATCGAGGCCGCAACAAGTACACCTATACCTATCTACGTCGCATTTTCTCTCAACAAATTTTATCCTGGTTTAACTCAGAACGCTTTTTCTCCTTCATCATCATCATCATCATCTTCTTATTCTTATTTTTCTCCTTCTTCGACAAAGTCCAATCGCGTGTCTGGACTATGTAAAAGATTGTACAACGTTTTAAATTAAAACTGCCCATTTCTCTTTCTCTCTCTCTCTCGTATATCCTATGGACGTTTTGGTGCTCTCGTTTGTTCCATCTTTTGTACGAGGTGCATCGTGTGCCAAGAAGGTGGTCCCACGATCTTAAGGCCAGAAGAAATATGACCGAGCTACTGACGTCAGCTTCCTTTTGCCACCACTGGCAGTCGACCACCCAGAATCCTGTCACCACCCGACCGTTCGAAGAACGTTGTTCAAAAGGATCGACGAAGAAATGCCAAACTGTCGCATTTACGAGCTGATGCTACTGCTGTCTCACATTTTCCTACACTTACTCTTTTCATATACCTTTTGCATGCAAACTTGCTCTAGCAATATCGAACAAATTTTACTAGACTCGTAAAAGTCTAACGCCATATAAAAATGTGTGTTCCATCCTTTTATCTTCCTTTTATTTTCTATGAAATATGATTAAGGTGAATAGGTATCATTTGAAAACTATTCTCCTCTTCCGACTCGTTCGATGCTTGCGAAAGGCATCGATCGTCTGGGAATACAAAAAAAAAAAAAAAGAAAAAACAATCGGAAGGGTTAATTTTGTTCTAAGTTCAAAAGTGTCTTCTTCTGCACTGTTCATCTTTGAATCGCACGATGTTGTATTATTAATGCGGTTCTTTGTTATTAACCGGTAGCTCGATGGAATAATCTATTCGTGAGACAATGATTAGAAGCGACATAGCAGCAACGGTAATTGCATGAGACCCTATGAATTTAATTGCAGTCGGTATTTAATGTTTTCCACCTCTCGCCCACTTCTCGTCTAGGCTCGTCGCTTTGAGAGAAGACCGAGCGAAATGGAAGGGGCTAAGGGTTGGGAGAGAGAGACAGAGACAGAGAGAGAGAGAGAGAACTTGTTCCGCGGAACGATTAAGAATCTCTAGATTGCTACGAGAGAGTCTGTAATGGCGTCGTTAACTGCGCTAATGTGATTACTGGCTGAAAGCAGCGGACAAGTTCCCGAGGACAAAAACACGAGCGATCTACGCTTGCGTTCGCTGCAGCACCGTTAACAGAAAAATATCGCCGCCTCAGAAAATTATATGTCCGCATCGTTCTTTTTCCTATTTCCTTTTTCTTCCTATCCTTTTTTTTTTTTTTTTTTACCCTCGCTCACTTTTTCCCTCGACGTTTTTATATTACAACGCAACAATCCATTCGTCTATCCGTCCTTAAGTCCACCCGTCGATTTTATCGTCGACGACTTTTTCACGATCGAACTCTCCTATTACGAAACGTCCACGAAAATGACTCCAACGATAGAACACATCTATTATAAATAGATGCGTGCTCCCTTAGGCGACGTTTTTCCACGCAAAGAAAAAAAATAAAAAGCAAATGGTTATATCGATACTCGTGCACGAGGATAAACGAAGAGTGTTCGCGTGTCGACTTTTTCGATTTCTAATAACATACCCTGTCGTCTCTGTCACCGATTGAATATCGACAAAGAATAAGAATGCAGAGAAATAAAGTATTCGTATTTCTTGGTGCAAGAGACAAAGAAAGAGAGGCGAGAGATCGTTGCTAGACAAGAAACCAGTTCTTGATTGGTCTTATACCCAGAACAATGACATTAAACCGTATAATTTACCATGAAAATCGTTTGACTTAATTAGTTTCTATTGAAAGACTCTTAGCAAGTTCAAATAAATAAATATAGAAATGATAGCTCGAAACAATCATTTTAGAGGCGTAATATAGACTCACGCGTAAAAACTATTTTAGTCTTCCTAGATGAAAGATATTACCTGAGCTGCAATCAACTACGATGCGTTTGCTACCGTCGCCTCCGCAATTTACGGTAATTTAGATCTGATACTTTCCATCGGAAATTACCTTCAAGTTACGAGAAAGATAAAGCATTAAAGGATCAATTTGTTTTAAATCCGAACGATAAATGCCGCGCGGAAGACTAGTAAATACGATAGGGGGAATAATTGTTACGAACCTACCGTGAACGAGTAGCCGCCGTCGGACGACGCAAACCTGACGCCAAAGCAGATACGACAGATTTGGAATATCGGAGAAACTCACGATGATCAAGATTCGATCCAGCGACGAATCCTTTAGTGGTAGGACACTCGAGGTTAGTTGCGGTGTTGCCGATGCCCTGCAGGTGGTAATGCCCGAAGGACGGACCCCTGGGCGCCATGATGGCCGCGATGCTAAAGTCCGTCGCCTTACCTCTCTCCCCCTTGGCAGGCATCCCTTCTCGCGCGACAACTTGCTCGCTCTTTTCTTTTTATCGTCTTCACCTTCTTCTTCTTCTTCTCCTCCTCCTCCTCCTCCTCCTCCTCCTTTTCCTCCTTCTCCTCCTTCTCTCCTCCTTGATCTCTTTTCTTTCTTGGAAAAGTATCTCTCAGAGAGACGTGTCGACGATTCCTTTGCTCGACGACATGACGAGCAAACTAAAGTGCATAAGACACTGATTACAACGTTTATCTACTTTACTTTAATTTCTCTCCTATTCTCACTCCCGAAATATATCTCTCTCTTGATTCACCGAGAGAGAAACGCACCACGAAGATGGTCGAAAGAAAGCGTAAAGACGAAGAGCCGCACAACGCGTCTGCGCTACTCGACTTCCCGGACTCCACTGGCCTGCCGCTCCTCCTCCCACGCGGCACCCTCTCCCCACCACTGTTGACACCGACATTGGCTCCCTACCCCCACCATTGTCCTAAGTCACGAGAGGCCCCGTGACGGCAGGGGGCGGCGCACGAGCGACCAAGTGGGCGGAACCGTTTTAGCGAACGGTCGGACCCCGTTAGTCACGTGACAGCCTTTAACGTTCTTTCCGAAGGCGGAGCCTCGTCGGCTCTCTCCCGCCTGTCTCTTTACAATCCGGCAAAGCCGATTGTTCGAGACCACGCCTCGCGACGCTAGCTAACCACCTCCGGTGGAATTACCGAGCTGGCTTTCCTCCTCCTTGTCATCGTGTCGCACCCGCCACTACCTCTCTTACACCTTGGCTTCGCGCATTCGCTCAAAGGGGCCAGGCAAAGATGCGAGGAGCGTAGCGTGTCCTTTACGCGCGATATATCTGTAGGTATACCTCTATACACGGAGATGATGACGGAGACGGCGCGAAGAGGGGTCACCGGGGAGCGGAGGAGTGCGGAGCGTAGAGGAGAGGAGAAACGGTGGCCGCGCGCACGACGAAAGGGAGATCGATCGACCTCCTCTCTCGTTGGATGGCCGGCGTTGGTTATACTCTATCTACCCTCTTCCTCTTATGCTCATTTACTCCCACTGCAAAGCACACGTCGACGTTGCCTTCGCGGACGGATCGACATTTTGCAACGGTCGAATCGTTGACGTTACCTACTCTCCGCGTTCCCGAATATCTACCACCGTATGTGTACTCGCTATGTACGCTCGCTATGTGCATTCGCTATGTACACACGTTGTGTGTTCTCCTATGAGTATTGCTTCTGGCTTTACGGCAATGCTATCAAACGTCTTACCCTCTACCACGGGAAATCGAGCCAAACTACGACTGTTACCCAGACTAACCATCTATAACTTTACCATCTCCTACTATTTCAATTTTGCAATATTATATATAATCGTTCGTCAACCAAATCATCATTATGAAAAAAGCAATGCAATTCTTATCACTTCATTATTTTCTTTTCATGTCTTATTTGTCTTTTTACTAAGCGTTTCTATAAAGAAAAAATTGCGAAGTCGAAAGATGGCCTCTTTCTCTCTATTATTAACGAGACGATATTTATATTTGATTGTCTTCTACAAATTACAAATAATTACTCTTAACGAAATCGAGATTATCATTTTCCGTTTGATCATTTTAACATGATATTCGCCAACTTTTCTAAAGAAAATATATGGGAAATGCGTTGAAATTTTCAAGGACCGAAAAAGTTTGTTCGATAATAAAAGAAGGACCGTTAGGAGAGTGATCGATCGAGTTTTGTAGATAGGTAAGTAAGTATATGAGTATATCATAGCTATATCCAGAGTTGTTTTGATCAATCGAGAGGAAGAATAATAATAAGAATCAGTAGGAGAACGCGTAACGTTTGAGGTTACTTTACAAGGGAAGTTGAATATACTCGAGAGAGTGAGAGAAAAAAAAAGAAAGGGATAGATAGCTAAAGAGAGAGAGAGAGAGAGAGAGAGAGAAAGAGAGAGATAGATAGAAAGAGAAAGAGAGAGTGAAGGGGAGAGACAGAGGTAGAAGATTTACGGCGTGTGTTTAGGCACTTAAGGCGAGCTTATACCCTCTTTTGCTCAGCGTTTCCTCTTTATTATACTAATTTCTCGGTCATGTCAAAATAGCTATCGTGTAGCTGTGGGCCTTCTGAATTCTATTCGACACGCTGGGTGCCCCCGTAGTTGAGCGCATAAAGGGTCTTCTCGTAGAGAAAATATGAAACTTCCTTTTCTCTGTTTCCCTTCTCTCCTTTACTTTCCTCCATGCTACTGCTCTTTCTCTATCTTGTCGTTTCAGGTAGCCAAGAAGTATATGGGACAAGGAGAGAGAGAGAGAGAGAGAGAGAGAGAGAGAGAGAGAGAGAGAGAATAAAAGAGAGAAAGAGTGGGGAAAAAGAAGACGAGTTTTACGTTGAGTATTTCAACTGCAGAAAACGAGCCAAGCCTTAGGACCCCCCGTTTAGCTTGGTATTCGAACGTCTTTTAAGATCCAACGAGGATGCTTCGTCGTGTCAACGTCGATTTTTCGAATTCTAGCTTGCCGACGGCAAAATTCGTGTTTGACCGAACTCACGCGAAACGATGTTCGTTTCAATCCCTCTATTTCTTTCTTTTTCTGACTTTCAAAGCCAGTAACGACGTCGATTATCCGGCACGCGTTTCCTTTCAAAATAGAGAGGTGGGATGAGTGAGCTCTTCTTTTCTCCCCCTTCCCTCCCTTTCTTACTCTCTCTCTCTCTCTCTCTCTTTATCTCTATCTCTCTTTTTTTATCTTTTATATCGACTCGCGATCGCAAGTGTTAGAAGAGTTTGGAGATACGTTCGCGTTGCCAGCAGCAACGGCAGTGGCATCGACAGGGGCTGCTCGGATGCAAATTGCGCGCCATTGTGCTGTGAAAAAAAAGCGAGAAAGAGAGAGAGAGTGAGAAAGGAAGGAAGGAAGGAAGAGAGAAAAGGGACGCGAACAGATGGAATCGAGAAGGAAGAGGAGAAAGAGGCTGGACGGTCCTCCTCCGTACCGTCCCTCCTAGTTGGACGATGGAGGAGGCGCACGCATGCGACGAAGCAGCGGGGAGGAAACCGAGTCATTCATCATCGAGCTCGCGCGGGCGCGCGAACGAAGGAGGGAAAGGGAGAAAGAAAGAGAGAAAGAGAGAGAGAGAGAGTGGCAAAGGAAGTTTGGAGGAACGAGTCTGGAAGCGGTAGGCCACCCACGCGGAACGTTCGAGATCGCTGACTAGCCAGCAAGGGCATCTCGACGAGTCTACTACTACTCGGAGTATCTTTTCGAGCTTTGTGAAAAATATCGATCCATCTACCAACAAGCAGGGGGAGAGATCGAAAGCTAATGACGTTATCCGATGAGTATACGAATCTTGTAGGAGATTTAGCCGGTCCGGCCTCTTGTCACCGGTTAAGAATTAATACACGCGCGTAATCCTCACTCACTTTCTTTCTCTCTCTCTCTCTCTCTCTCTCTCTCTCTCTCTCTCTCTCTGGATGTATCGCTTTGCTTGACCGAACAGACGTGAATGGACCTTCGACGGTGTCATCTCGAGCGTAGCTAAAAAATACAAATTCGAGCTATAGTTCATACTTAATGCCGAGATTATAAAGACGACGTTAATGCGGTAGGTAAAGGAACTGCTGGCTCGTCGCTCGCTCACTCGCTCGTCCATTATGGCTACCAAAGAAGCGGTTTCAAGAAGTAGCACGGTGAGTAGTGGCGTAGAGAGATGCGCTGTAATAAGCGCGAAAGCATGACAGAGAAGAAACTAGCTGGTGTCTATAGGTGCAACGATGTGCGTCGTGTGTGGACCTAGATAAGCATCGTGTATCGCTTAATACCACCAAGTAGTATCCGATGTAGCTGCCAAGACAGGTAGACGAGAAACATAGGCGTCGCCTTGACAATCTTTTTCTAAACTTCTCAGGTAATTTTAAAATTTGGTTGTCTATCGAAAACAATACCAATATCGTGCCTAAAATTGTCCCGATATTTTTTTAATTTTGTTTACATCTATTTCGTCATAATACTCTATAATAAAATTCTGTTAAATCAGGTGGATTCTGACGAATCCGTTAAATCGTCCCGCCTATGGGGAGCATCGTCGTCAATGTGCAAGGGCAACGGGACGAATCCGAAGAAAGGCCGAGACCTTTATATAGTGGCTATTGCTGGTGTCGCGTCTCGCGTTAGCAACAGCAAGAACGGCAGCAACAGCGACGGTAGCAAGACGGCAGCGGGTGTAGGTGTAGAATATACGAGGCGCGCGTTTAGCCGGAGGCTCGAGAAAGGGTCGGGGATCCACGCGCATCGCGCTAACGCACTTTTAACTCGCTTCTCTCTCCCTCTCTCTCTCTGTCCCTCTCCCTGTCCTTCTCCCTTGCTCGCCCACCTACCTATGCGAATCTCCGCTATGGCTGGCCACATGCAGCGAGGGTGTCTGGTGACACATTACTTTACCTAGTCCCTTCCGAACGAGACCTCCACGATTTTCATTTTCTTTTTTCCTGTCCTTCTCCATACACGATGCATCTCGAGTCACGTTTCGTAATTAGGATCTCCCGTATCGATTACCAATCGCAAGATAAATCAATTTCGAATTAGCCCCACAAAATATGAAGATACCAGCGGGACTATTAAAAGTATCCTTTTGCAATAGAGCGAGCCTAGCCAATTCCAAAAGGAGAAAGCGATAGAAATGCAGCTAAGAAAAACTTCAACGATCGGAGACACGGGTTATCGATAAGTAAGAGTCAGATATGCAGGAGATGATGGCTCAGCACTTTTCTCTCTCGGTCTATTCGAAACATCCTGTCGATCTTATCTCTAGCTGGTAATCCTCCTTCGTTTCCTCTCGTTCATCGAGCCATGTTCTTTCCGCATCTTCTACGTCGTTATAATAGAAAAATTTGAACTTTTAAACAACCACTGGCTCGTGTTTGCTTGAAAATAATTAACGATAATATAAATTAAAACGATTACATAGATACAAAGCCAACGACGTAAGGTTTCTCATGTTGGGAAGACGATCGTGCGTGTGCGCGGCTCGTATGAGTTATTCATGGGATACGTAGTCCTCGA